TGGTTGAGCAGAAGCTCTCCGAAGCTCTAGGTCTGTGTTTCTCAACCTTCCTAATGCCATCACCCCTGAATACAATTCCTCATGTTGTGGTGACCCCTAAAAATGCTGATGATCACGCCATCACCGCTCAAGCAGGGAACTTCGAAATGGTTGAACAGAAGCTTCCCAAAGCTCTAGGTCTGTGTTTCTCAAGCTTCCTAATGCTGCGACCCCTGAATACAGTTCCCCATGCTGTGGTGACCCCCACAAATGCCAGAAGTGAAAAAGAGTTTCATCTATGCTGACGATCATGCCATCACTGCTCAAGCAGGGAGCTTTGAAATGGTTGAACAGAAGCTCTCCAAAGCTCTAGGGCAGTGTTTCTCAACCTTCCTTAATGTTGCGACCCCTTAATGCAGTTCCTCATGTTGTGGTGACCCCCAACCATCACATTATTTTCATTGCTACTTCACAACTGTCATTTTGCTAGTGTTATGAATCAGAATGTAAAGATCTGATAGGAAGCTTGAGAAATGAATGTATTGTCATTCACTGGACCAAATTTGACACAAATACCCAATACGCCCAAATTTGAATGTTGGTGCAGTTTGAGGAAAATAGACCTTGACATTTGGGAGTTGTAGTTTCTGGGATTTATAGTTCACCTACAATCAAAGAGAATTCTGAACTCCACCAACGATGGAATTGAACCAAACTTGTCGCACAGAACTCTCATGACAGACAGAAAATATTGGAAGGGTTTGGTGGGCATTGACCTTGAGTTTGGGAGTTGTAGTTCACCTTCATCCAGAGAGCACTGTGGACTCAAACAATGATGGATCTGGACCGAACTTGGTACAGATACTCTGTACACCGAAATGTGAACACTGGTGGAGTTTGGGAAAAATAGACCATGACATTTGGGAGTTGTGGTTGCTGGGATTTATAGTTCACCTACAATCAAAGAACATTCTGAACTCCAGCAATGATAGAATTGGGTCAAAGTTGGCACAAAGAATTCACACGACCAACAAAAAAATACTGGAAGGGTTTGGTGGGCGTTGACCTTGAGTTTGGGAGTTGTAGATCACCTACATCCAGACCACACTGTGGACTCAAACAGCGATAGATCTGGACCACACTTGATATGAATACTCAGTGTGCCCAAATGTGAACATTGGTGGGGTTTGGGGAAAACAGACCTTGATATTTGGGAGTTGTGGTTGCTGGGATTTATAGTTCACCTACAATCAAAGAGCATTCTGAATGTATCATATATGTTTTCTCATGGTTTTTGGCGACCCCTCTGAAACCCCGTCACGACCCCACCTCTGGGAGGGGTGCTGACCACCAAGTGGAGAAACGCCAATCTAGAATGTTTGGTAACTAAACCAAGCAATTTGTACTTGGGAGACGATTTGCTGGTTCTGGGCCTGCCACTTGCAGCTCTGGACTCCTGGGTTCATCTCATGGGAGATCCAACTTCTTGTCTTGCTCCTGGAGAGACATAAGCTGGAATGGACGAACCCAGAGGGTGCTTCTCCCCAAGTCTTCCTCTTCATCCTGGAAAGAAGTGACGAGCGGAGTGCCACCAGCAGGGTTCCGTCCTGGGCCCGGTCCTGTTCAACATCTTTATTAATGACTTAGATGAAGGGCTAGAAGGCAGGATCATCAAGTTTGCAGACGACACCACATTGGGAGGGAGAGCCAATACTCCAGAGGACAGGAGCAGGATTCAAAACAATCTTGACAGATTAGAGAGATGAATGGCCAAAACTAACACAATGAAGTTCAACAGGGACAAATGCAAGATACTCCACTTAGGCAGAAAAAACGAAATGCAAAGATACAGAATGGGGGACAATGAGGCCTGGCTCGAGAGCAGTACTTGTGAAAAAGATCTTGGAGTCCTCGTGGACAGGAAGTTAAACATGAGCCAGGAATGTGATGTGGCGGCAAAAAAAGCCAATGGGATTTTGGCCTGCATGTATAGGAGCCTAGTGTCTAGATCTAGGGAATTCATTCTCCCCATGCTCTATTCCGCTTTGGTTAGACCACACCTGGAATATTGTGGCCAATTCTGGGCGCCACAATTCAAGAGAGATGTTGACAAGCTGGAGGGCGACTCAAATGATCCAGGGTCTGGAGAACAAGCCCTATGAGGAGCGGCTTAAGGAGCTGGGCATGTTTAGCCTGAAGAAGAGAAGGATGAGAGGAGATATGATAGCCATGTATAAATATGTGAGAGGAAGCCACAGGGAGGAGGGAGCAAGCTTGTTTTCTGCTTCCCTGGAGACTGGGACTAGGAGATATGGCTTCAAACTACAAGAAAAGAGATTCCATCTGAACATGAGGAAGAACTTCCTGACTGTGAGAGCCGTTCAGCAGTGGAACTCTCTGCCCCGGAGTGTGGTGGAGGCTCCTTCTTTGGAAGCTTTTAAACAGAGGCTGGATGGCCATCTGTCAGGGGTGATTTGAATGCAATATTCCTGCTTCTTGGCAGAATGGGGTTTGCCCATGAGGTCTCTTCCAACTCTTTGATTCTATGAGTAGCCTGGGCCTCTTTGTATAGTCCAAGGGGCTCTGGAGAACGCATTCCCACATGGTGCAACCGAGTTGGCACCTCTTGCCGCTCGATGAAATCACACCGGCGGGAAAGGAAGCGGATTTGACTCAGAGAGGCTCAGGGACGTTGCAAGCAAGAGGCTTGCAAACCACATGCGCTGGCTTTTGGCTCGCACTTCAAACCCTCCAACCCGTGCCGAAATCCATGCCGACACCTTCAGCGGATGATTTCCTTTTGACTCAACCCTCTCTGTCAGAGGAAAGTGCCGTCCAGGTCCAAAAGTGGACCCCAAGCCTCCCAATCTCCACTCCCAACCTTGCGATGAGATCTCTCATTCTAGACCCTCTTGTTCCTGCAACTATATGGAAAAGATTATGGGAGGATTAGACAAGTTCGGGGAGGTCACTCGCCGGTCATCACTCTCCGGTTCCAGCATTAGTTCCATCAGAACTGGCTCAAGACAGAAGTCTGGCCGAGGTGAAGATGGCTGGCTGAGGACTCATGCGCCTTCTGGAGATGTGGGAAAGTTGCTGCATGCATTCCAGAGGAATTTGGAGAGCTGACTCCCAAAAGGGTTTATGGGTCTTAACCAGCACTCAGAAACAGACCAACAAGTGGGGGTGTCTCTGAAGGGTCACCAAAGACCATCAGAAACACATATTTTTGATGGTCTTCGGAACCCCTTTGGTAGAGAAGGCTGAAGATCTCTCCACTTATCCTTCTCTTTCTTTTAGGAAACAGACGGAAAATCCTGGTCATTTGTTTAAATGTTAAACATTGATGGTGCAAGTTCATTTCCCCTGTAATAGGCAATAAGAGTATCTAAAGTTTTGGAGAGCTTCTGTTCAACCATTTCCAAGCTCTCTGCTTGAGTGGTGATGGCGCAATCGTCAGCATAGATGAAACTCTTTGTCCCTTCTGGCAGTGGCTGGTCATTTGTGTAAATGTTAAACATTGATGGTGCAAGATGGTTCCCCCTGTAATAGGCAATAAGAGCACCTAAAGCTTCGGAGAGCTTCTCTTCAACCATTTCAAAGCTTCCTACTTGAGCGGTGATAGTGTGATCATCAGCATAGATGAAACTCTCTGTCCCTTCTGGCAGTGGTTGTTTAGAAAGGGCAATTACTGAGATGAGAGAAATGGGAGAAAAGATGGGGAAAACGCCAAAGGAGGATTAGAGTTTTGTAGAGCTTCTGTTCAATCATTTCAAAGCTGCCTGCTTGAGTGGTGATGGCGCAGTTGTCAGCATAGATGAAACTCTCTGTTCATTCTGGCAATGGCTGATCAGAAAGGACATTTGCAGAAAGGAGTAGAGAAATGGAGAAAAGAGATGGAAAACACCAAAGGAGGATTAGAGCTTCTGAGAGCTTCTGTTCAACCATTTCAAAGCTCCCTGCTTGAGTGGTGATGGCATGATCGTCAGCATAGAGGAAACTCTTTTTTCACTTTTGGCAGTGGCTGATTGGAAAGGACATTTGCAGAAAGGAGGAGAGAAATGGGAGAAAAGAGAGAGCAAACACTCAAGGAAGATTAGAGCTTCGGAGAGCTTCTCTTCAACCATTTCAAAGTTCCCTGCTTGGGTGGTGATGGCGTGATCGGCAGCATAGATGAAACTCATTGTCCCTTCTGGCAGTGGCTGATCAGAAAGGACGTTTTCCGAAAGGAGGAGAGAAATGGGAGAAACGAGAGAGAAAACACTCAAGGAAGATTAGAGCTTTGGAGATCTTCTATTCAACCATTTCAAAGCTCCCTGCTTGAGCGGTGATGGCGTGATTGTCAGTATAGATGAAATTCTCTGTCCCTTCTGGCAATGGCTGGTCATTTGTGTAAATGTTAAACATTGATGGTGCAACCTGGTTTCCCCTGTAATAGGCAGTAAGAGCACCTAAAGTTTCAGAGAACTTCTGTTCAACCTTTTCAGAGCTCCCTGCTTGAGTGGTGATGACACGATCGTCAGCATAGAGGAAACTCTCTGTCCCTTCTGGCAGTGGCTGATCAGAAAGGACTTTTGCTGAAAGGAGGAGAGAAATGGGAGAAAAGAGAGAGAAAAGGCCAAAGGAGGATTAGAGTTTAGGAGAGCTTCTGTTCAACCATTTCAAAGCTCCCTGCTTGGGTGGTGATGACGCGATCGTCAGCATAGATGAAACTCTCTGTTCATTCTGGCAGGGGCTGCTCAGAAAGGACGTTTGCAGAAAGGAGGAAAGAAATGGGAGAAAAGAGAGGGAAAAGGAGGATTAGAGCTTTGTAGAGCTTCTGTTCAACCATTTCAAAGCTCCTTGCTTGAGTGGTGATGGTGCGATCGTCAGCATAGATGAAACTCTTTGTCCCTTCTGGCAATGGATGATTGGAAAGGACGTTTGCTGAAAGGAGGAAAGAAATGGAGAAAAGAGAGAGAAAACACCCAAGGAGGAGTTGGGAGAGGGAAGAAAAAAAAATAACAAACCCAGAAAGGAGGCAGACATCTGGCGGAGAGTCAAGGCAAAGAGAGAACAGCTGGATTTTGTCAATGCCCCAGAAAATTAATACCATCCCCAGAAGGGAGGAGGTTGTTTTTGGAATTGGGAGCTTTTGGAGGCCGGCGAAAACCGACTTTTTTTTTTTTGCTAGTCTTGCATCAAAAGCAACTTGGGAAGGGAAGGGTCAGAGAGAACTAGTGTGATGTTGGAGGAAGGTTAGAGAAAGAGGGAGAGAGAGAGAGAAGGCGAGGAGTTAATAAACTTGTAACTGGGGGTCGGATCCTTGCAAGTCCATGTTTTTTTGGGCTGTAAACAGATGAGATCATCAGTATTTTCAAGCAAAGGAAGGCGAAGAGAAGGAAAAGCAGCCTTTGGGGAAGGAAAGGAGAAGGAGAAGAGGACGAGGCAGGAGCCATGGAGTTGTTCACCCGGTGCCTTTGGGCTCTGCTGTTGTTTCTCCAAGGTAAGACGACCAGGGGCGGTTCATCCATTATGCAAAGTAAGCAGTCGCGGTATAGTTGATGTTGCCCAGGGGTGCTCTTGAGGCGCTCTTGGGGGAAAATAGAACTAGACATATGCAAGTTGTAGTTACTGGGATGTATAGTTCACCTACAATCAAAGAGCATTCTGAACTCCACCAATGATGGAATTGAACCAAATATGGCACACAGAACTCCCACGACGAACAGTTGGGCCGGCTTTGCACCCAACACAAGGCCGACTTTGACGGTATTGGACTTTCGTTTGGATAGAACAAGAGCATGTTATGTAAGGCTTCCAATATGGCTCTGCTTGGGCAGATTGGCTCTCTGGGAGAGTTGGGAAAGCACAAGACTGGACACACAAAAAATGTGCAAAAAACCTGGGGGAATCCTTTGTTGGGAGGTGCTTCGCCCACATCTGTGGCAAGCATCCATAGAGGTGGTGAGGTCTGTTGGAAGCAATTGTGAGTGTTGGAGTTGGCCACCTTGATTGGTATTGAATGGTGTTGCAGCTTCAAAGACTTGTTGGGTCCTGCCTGGGGGAATCCTTTGTTGGGAGGTGCTTCGACCATGTCTATGGCACGCAACCTCAGAGGTGGTGAGGTCTATTGGAAGCAAGTGTGAGTGTTGGAATTGGCCACCTTGATTAGCATTGAATGGCATTGCAGCTTCAAATCCTGGTTGTGTCCTGCCTGGGGGAATCCTTTGTTGAGAGGTGCTTCGCCCACGTCTATGGCAGGCATGCTCAGAGGTTGTGAGGTCTGTTGGAAGCGAGTGTGAGTGTTGGAATTGGCTACCTTGATTAGCATTGAATGGCATTGCAGCTTCAAAGCCTGGTTGAGTCCTGCCTGGAGGAATCCTTTGTTGGGAGGTGTTTCACCCATGTCTATGGCAGGCATCCTCAGAGGTGGTGAGGTGTGTTGGAAGCGAGTGTGAGTGTTGGAATTGGCCACCTTGATTAGTGTTGAATGGTGTTGCAGCTTCAGAGCCTGGTTGCGTCCTCCCTGGGGGAATCCTTTGTTGGGAGGTGCTTCGTCCACATCTGTGGCAGGCATCCTCAGAGGTGGGGAGGTCTGTTGGAAGCAAGTGGGAGTGTTAGAATTGGCCACCTTGATTAGCATTGAATGGTGTTGCAGCTTCAAAGCCTGGTTGTGTCCTGCCTGGGGGAATCCTTTGTTGCTTCGCTTACATCTATGGCAGGCAACCTAAGAGGTTGTGAGGTGTGTTGCAGGCAAATGTGAGTGTTTGAATTGGCCATCTTGATTAGCATTGAATGGTGTTGCAGCTTCAAATACTTGCTGCGTCCTGCCTGGGGGAATTCTTTGTTGGGATGTGTTAGCTGGCTCTGATTGTTTCCTGTCTGGAATTCCCCTGTTGCTCCTTTTTAAAAAAATATAATAATAATAATAATAATAATAATAATAATAATAATAATAATGTATTGTTGAAGGCTTTCATGGCCGGAATCACTAGCTTGTGGTGAGTTTTCCGGGCTGTAATGCCATGCTCTAGAAGCATTCTCTCCTGACGTTTCTCCCACATCAAAATAATTTAATAATAATAATAATAATAATAATAATAATAATAATGTATTGTCGAAGGCTTTCATGGCCGGAATCACTGGCTTGCTGTGAGTTTTCTGGGCTGTCATGCCATGCTCCAGAAGCATTCTCTCCTGATGTTTCTCCCACAGGCATCCTCAGAGGTGGTGAAGTCTGTTGGAAACTAGGAAAATGGGGTTTATATATATCTGTGGAAAATAGACCTTGCCATTTGGGAATTGTAGTTTCTGGGATTTATAGTTCACCTACAATCAAAGAGCATCCTGAACCCCACCAACAATGCAAGTGAAGCAAACTTGGTATACAGAACTCCCAGGACCAACAGAAAATACTGGAAGGGTTTGGTGGGCATTGACCTTGAGTTTGGGAATTGTAGTTCATGTACATCCAGAGAGCACTGTGGACTCAAACAATGATGGATCTGGACCAAACTTGGCACGAATACTCAATATGCCCAAATGTGAACACTGGTGGAGTTTGGGGAAAATAGACCTTGCCATTTGGGATTGTAGTTGCTGGGATTTATAGTTCAACTGCAATCAAAGATCATTCTTAACCCCACCAATTGAAGTGAACCAGACTTGGCATACAGATCTCTCAAGACCAACAGAACACACTGGAAGGGTTTTGTGGGCTTTGACCTTGAGTTTGGGAGCTGTAGTTCATCTACATCCAGAGAGCACTATGGGTTCAAATAATGATGGATCTAGACCAAACTTGGCACGGATACTCAATATGCCCAAATGTAAACACTGGTGGAGTTTGGGGAAAATAGACATTGCCATTTGTGATTTATAGTTCACCTACAATCAAAGAGCATTCTGAACCCCACCAATGATAGAATTGGGCCAAACTTCCCATACAGAACCCCTACGAGCAATAGAAAATAATGTGTTTTCTGCTGGTCTTTGGCAACCCCTCTGAAACCCCCCTCGGGTCCCGACCCCCAAGTTGAGGAACACTGTTCTATATTCACCCTAGAATGACGTTCAAACTGCACGATATAGCGGTCCAGATTGAGCCCACGTGAACACCAGTTTTGCCCTTTTTGGTAATTTTCCACTGACGTTGGATCCATTTGCAAAAGCTCCTTAAAAACAGTAACTAAAAGGTAGTGGAAAATATCGAGCAGAGGATAAACAGCATTTGCTGCTTGGTACACAAAAATTGGAAAGACCCAGATCTCTAGTTTGTGAGTCCCAATTCACGAGGGGAAGAGGTGGCAACCACCCAGCGGGATCGACGTTCTGGTTGTTGCTTTGCTAAAATCCAGGAAATACTCTGGTATAAGGTAGAGAAATGAAGGAATTCTGAGCCCTTAGTTACTCCTTCTTTGCTGCAAGAGTATAACCTTGGCACGAAGATTATTTTGCTGCTGGCGTTATTATGCAAACAGGAAACACAAAATCGTTTCCTGATCTGCTTCAGATGATCCTAGGAAACATCTCGGAGTCTCCAGTGAGGATTAAAAAGGCATCTACGAGGGTTGAATGAAAAGCAATGCCTCCACCTTCGTAACTCCTCAATAGATGGCAGTACTGGTGTGTGGCAGGTACTGGCTTGCTCAGTAGACTCTCCTCTACAGTTCCATTTTGGCAGGTAGCCTTAGCATTGAATGGTTGTGTTATTAAAGTGAAAAGTAATGCCTCCACCTTCGTAACTCCTCAACAGATGGCAGTACTGGTATGCGGCAGGTACTGGCTTGTTCAGTAGACTCTCCTCTACAGTTCCATTTTGGCAGGTAGCCTTAGCATTGAATGGTTGTGTTATTAAAGTGAAAAGTAATGCCTCCACCTTCGTAACTCCTCAACAGATGGCAGTACTGGTATGCGGCAGGTACTGGCTTGTTCAGTAGACTCTCCTCTACAGTTCCATTTTGGCAGGAAGCCTTAGCATTGAATGGTTGTGTTGTTAAAGTGAAAAGTAATGCCTCCACCTTCGTAACTCCTCAACAGATGGCAGTACTGGTATGTGGCAGGTACTGGCTTGTTCAGTAGACTCTCCTCTACAGTTCCATTTTGGCAGGAAGCCTTAGCATTGAATGGTTGTGTTGTTAAAGTGAAAAGTAATGCCTCCACCTTCGTAACTCCTCAACAGATGGCAGTACTGGTGTGCGGCAGGTACTGGCTTGCTCAGTAGACTCTCCTCTACAGTTCCATTTTGGCAGGAAGCCTTAGCATTGAATGGTTGTGTTATTAAAGTGAAAAGTAATGCCTCCACCTTCGTAACTCCTCAACAGATGGCAGTACTGGTATGCGGCAGGTACTGGGTTGTTCAGTAGACTCTCCTCTACAGTTCCATTTTGGCGGGAAGCCTTAGCATTGAACGGTTGTGTTGTTAAAGTGAAAAGTAATGCCTCCACCTTCGTAACTCCTCAACAGATGGCAGTACTGGTATGCGGCAGGTACTGGCTTGTTCAGTAGACTCTCCTCTACAGTTCCATTTTGGTGGGAAGCCTTAGCATTGAATGGACCTTCGTAACTCCTCAACAGATGGCAGTACTGTAATGCGGCAGGCACTGGCTTGTTCAGTAGACTCTCCCCTACAGTTCCATTTTGGCAGGAAGCCTTAGCATTGAATGGTTGTGTTGTTAAAGTGAAAAGTAATGCCTCCACCTTCGTAACTCCTCAACAGATGGCAGTACTGGTATGCGGCAGGTACTGGCTTGTTCAGTAGACTCTCCTCTACAGTTCCATTTTGGCAGGAAGCCTTAGCATTGAACGGTTGTGTTGTTAAAGTGAAAAGTAATGCCTCCACCTTCGTAACTCCTCAACAGATGGCAGTACTGGTATGTGGCAGGTACTGGCTTGTTCAGTAGACTCCTCTACTGTTCCATTTTGGTGGGAAGCCTTAGCATTGAATGGACCTTTGTATCTCCTCAACAGATGGCAGTACTGTAATGCAGCAGGTACTGGCTTGTTCAGTAGACTCTCCTCTATAGTTCCATTTCGGCGGGAAGCCTTAGCATTGAATGGACCTTCGTAACTACTCAACAGATGGCAGTACTGTAATGTGGCAGGTACTGGCTTGTTCAGTAGACTCTCCTCTATAGTTCCATTTTGGCCGGAAACCTTAGAATTGAACGGTTGTGTTGTTAAAGTGAAAAATAATACCTCCACCTTCGTAACTCCTCAACAGATGGCAATACTGGTATGCGGCAGATACTGGCTCGTTCAGTAGACTCTCCCCTACAGTTCCATTTTGGCGGGAAGCCTCAGCATTGAATGGACCTTGGTAACTCCTCAACAGATGGCAAGACTGGTATGCCGCAGGTACTGGCTTGTTGAGTAGACTCTCCTCTACAGTTCCATTTTAGCGGGAAGCCTTAGCTTTGAACGTTGTGTTGTTAAAGTACAACATATGGAACCTTGCGCAGACGGTCGGTCAATGCGACTTAAACAATGTGCAGTCACTGAATTCTTGACTGCAGAACGTGTCACCCCAAAGGAGATTCATCGGAGAACGGAAGCTATTTATGGTGATTGTGTTGATGTGAGTACTGTGTGTCGTTGGGCGAGTAAGTTTCAAGATGTTTAGGTGGGAACATCTGATTTACGTGACAAACAAAGAGTTGGACGTCCTGTGACAGCAACCACCGAGTTTCAGAAGCAAAAGGTTGACAGATTGATTCAGGACAGTGGGTTGTTGTAGGTTTTTTCGGGCTATATGTCCATGTTCTAGAGGCGTTTCACCTGCATCTCACTACCTCTGAGGATGCTTGCTGTAGATGCAGGTGAAATGTCAGGAGAGAATGGCCATGTAGCCTGAATTCTGGCCATGAAATTCTGGCCATGAAAGCCTTTGATGATTCAGGACATTCGTCGTATCACTCAGAGAGAAATTTCCAGCATAATCGGCATTTCACAAGAATGTGTGGGTCACATCATTGCTTTGCTTGATTATTGGAAGATCTGTGCACGATGGGTACCCAGGATGAGAGAACCGTGAGATGCTGGTTGCGGAAATAGAGTGTCGACTTCTTCTGTGACGGCTTCAGAAACCTTGTTCATCGTTGGCAGAAATGTATCCAATTGTCTCATGATTATATGGAAAAGCGAATCGTGGTAATTAAAGAGCACATTTTAAGGATTATTTCTGTGTTTGATTTATTAAAATTCTCCCATCCAAACCCAAGTAACGAAGGTGGAGGCATTACTTTTCATTCCACCCTTGTTGTTCAACACCTCTTTGGACTGCCATGGCTCCATGCAATGGAATCCTGGGAGTTCTCATTTTGCAGTGAAATGTCAGGAGAGAATGCTTCTGGAACACGGCCATAGAGCTCGGAAAACTCACAACAATCCAGTAATTCTGGCCACGAAAGCCTTTGACAACACAAAGAGGGAAGCAGTTAAAATGCCAATACAAAACAGAATGGAAGAAGAGGCATGTCGAACTAGAAATCCAATCTCTTTCTGGGGACCGTACTCTAAAAATAACTGTCCCGAAAGCTGTGGTTGGCACTTGAATACGAGTCCTGGGTGGTCTTTATCACACAGCAGGTAAATCCAGCCCCATAAAAGGCGAATCCGTGTTTAATGCTATTCATAGCTTGGGGAGCATGCGGTTCGGCACATCTGGTGAGTTTCCTGCTTTCGGGAAAGGCAGCCAAACGCCTTTTCGATTGACTTGCCAGCGACTCGACGCATGGAATCTGGAAGGGAAGCCATGTTCTTTGCATTGGGGACCAGAGGCCAAAAAGGGCGATGCCAGAAGTGCCATGTTCTCCAAATTAGGGGCCATGCATGTATTGAATTGAACCAAACCAGGGGGATATTTACAAGGGTGGAATGAAAAGTAATGCCTCCACCTTCCTTACTTGGGTTTGGATGGGAATATTTTAATAAATCAAATGCAGAAATAATCCTTAGAATGTGCTTCCCAACAAAATGGAACTGTAGAGGAGAGTCTGCTGAACAAGCCAGTACCTGCCGCACACCAGTACTGCTATCTGTTGAGGAGTTACGAAGGTGGAGGCATTACTTTTTCTGCTAAGGCTTCCTGCCAACATGGAACTGTAGAGGAGAGTCTACTGAACAAGCCAGCACCTGCCGCATACCAGTTCTGCCATCTGTTGAGGAGTTACGAAGGTGGAGGCATCACTTTTTCTGCTAAGGCTTCCCACCAACATGGAACTGTAGAGGAGAGTCTACTGAACAAGCCAGTCCCTGCCGCATACCAGTACTGCCATCTGTTGAGGAGTTACGAAAGTGGAGGCATTACTTTTTCTGTTAAGGCTTCCTGCTAAAAGAACTGTAGAGGAGAGTCTACTGAACAAGCCAGTACCTGCCGCACACCAGTACTGCCATCTGTTGAGGAGTTACGAAGGTGGAGGCATCACTTTTTCTGCTAAGGCTTCCCACCAACATGGAACTGTAGAGGAGAGTCTACTGAACAAGCCAGTACCTGCCGCACACCAGTACTGCCATCTGTTGAGGAGTTATGAAGGTGGAGGCATTACTTTTCATTCAACCCTCGTATTGGGTAATTACAATTCCCCAGCCCTGCATTTGCCAAGACCTCAAGACCATTCAAGCTCAAGCTTGGGATCTCTTCCAATGTGGTCTCTTCGTATTGGAAGAGTTCTTCCTAATGTCCAGGTGGAATCTCCTTTCTTGTAGTTTGAAGCCATTGCTCCATTGCGTCCTAGTCTCCAGGGCAGCAGAAAACAAGCTTACTCTCTCCTCTCTATGACTTCCCTTCACATCTTGATCCACGGCCCTCATCATCTCCTCTCAGCCTTCTTTTCTGCAGGCTAAACATGCCCAGCTCTTTTAGCCACTCCTCATAGGGCTTGCTATTCGAACATGAATCCATAAATTAAAAGAAAACCCCCCCAAAAACCAGGAGCTTTTTCCAAGGCAAATCCTTACAGGAGCAAAGACATGAACCAGACAGGAAACTTGAATCATGAACTTGAGAACAGGGACAGGAAAAGCATCCTTTAGCAACATTGTCTCCTCTGAGTCACTTGAAGCCCAACAACTTAATTTAAGCCCATCCAAGCACCCATGACATCATGGCGAACACACCTGGACTTCAAGGCCTTCCACGGATTTTGTGAGGCTATTTAGTCTGTGTTGTACTGCCTCTGTGTTGTACTCCCTCCTTTCTCAGGCCTAATCTCGAATCCCGGGAAAACTCCCCATCAGCCCGAGGAATTTCACTTTCTCTTATTTCCAGGCAGCCATGACATCATGGCGAACACACCTGGACTTCAAGGCCTTCCATGGATTTTGTGAGGCTATTTAGTCTGTGTTGTACTCCCTCTGTGTTTTCCTCCCTCCTTTCTCAGGCCTAATCTCGTATCCCAGGAAAACTCCCCATCAGCCTGAGGAATTTCGCTTTCCCCTATTTCCAAGCACCCATGACATCATGGCAAACACACCTGGACTTCAAGGCCCTCCATGGATTTAGTGAGGCTATTTAGTCTGTGTTTTACTCCCTCTGCATTTTACTCCCTCCTTTTCTCAGGCCTAATCTCGTATCCCGGGAAAACTCCCCATCAGCCCGAGGAATTTCACTTTCCCCTATTTCCAAGCACCCATGACATCATGGCAAACACACCTGGACTTCAAAGCCTTCCATGGATTTAGTGAGGCTATTTAGTCTGTGTTGTACTCCCTCTGCGTTTTACTCCCTCCTTTCTCAGGCCTAATCTGGTATCCTGGGAAAACTCTCCATCTGCCCAAGAAATTTCATTTCCTCCTATTTCTTCTGCCTCGGCCTCATCTGCCTGCAGTTCTCTCCGATCTGAGGCCTGCAATTCTTTCATTTTGAAACTCATCATCCCCCTCACCCTCTGACAAATCCTCGGCGCTTGTTGTGCTATAACAGAAACAACGAGAGGCTTTTCTTTTAGCAGGTCATTCTAGTCACATTTCAGTTGCCTAATATTTTGTCTTTGTTTTTTTCTTTCAGACTCGGTGGTTCACCCTTATTCAGGTAAGTGATACTTACACTACTTTTGAAAGCATGTCACTTGTAATATGTAATCCTAGGATATAGGCTATCATCCTGATTGCTGTTCCTCATGTGCCCCTCTCTCCCTTCCACTTGTAGTCCCTGCTGATGCCTCTAATCTGGAGAGCGTTGTGGTGTCAGTCCTGAACGTCACGGCCAAGGCGGGCTCCCGGACTGTCCTCTCTTGCAAGAGCTACCGTATGGTGTGGACGCAGGATCGACTGAACGACCGCCAGCGTGTAGTCCATTGGGACCTCTACCGGAGCCAAATTGGGGCGGAGAGGCTCTGTGACATGTACTCTGCGGGCGACCAGCGAGTCTACAGCACCTACAACCAAGGGCGGATCTCCATGACTGAGAATGCATTTGTGGATGGCAACTTCTCATTGGTGGTCAAAGGTACCTGTTGTATGTTAGCCTGTGATTGTGTCTGATGGTCATGATGGAAATGTTTCTGATGGGATTGGGGATGAGGGGTTGCTTGGGCCTAAGCTAAGATCAGAAGAGAGGTCTGAACTGTTTCAGGAAGATTCACAAGGCCACATTCCTGGGAAAGGCCTTTCACCACTTTTCTCAGAGCAACTTTCTGAAAATGATGCAAAGACTGATTTGCCAGGTGCAGGAGTTAATGAGGGAGAGGATAGTGAAACCTTGGACAGAAAGTGAGTTTTACTAAACAGAAGCAGAGCTTTCAGAGTCTGAGGCGATCACGTTGTCTGCAGGAAAGGAAAGATAACAAACCGTTATCTAGTGGGAAAGCCAAAAAGAATGCTTTCCTTTCAGTTTTGGGTTATGGAAAAGGTTTATAATGATTCATTAGAGAGAGTTGCCTCAGTCGAGGCAACGTTGTTATTTTATCATGGTTTTGCTTTCAAATGCTCTGAGTTTCATGTACCAAGTTTTTGCCAAGCTTATGTTTTGCCTATGGGATTTTCCTGCTGTTTTGTTTCATGTCAAAAAGAATGCTTTCCTTTCAGTTTTGGGTTCTGGAAAGGGTTTATAATGATTCATTAGATAGAGTTGCCTCAGTTGAGGCAATGTTGTTATTTTATCATGGTTTTGCTCTCAAATGCTCTGAGTTTCATGTACCAAGTTTTTGCCAAGCTTAGTTTTGCCTATGGGATTTTCCTGCTGTTTTGTTTCATGTCAAAAAGAATGCTTTCCTTTCAGTTTTGGGTTCTGGAAAAGGTTTATAATGATTCATGGGAGAGAGTTGCCTCAGTCGAGGCAACACTGTTATTTTATCATGGTTTTTCTCTCAACTGCTCTGAGTTTCATGTACCAAGTTTTTGCCAAGCTTAAGTTTTGCCTATGAGATTTTCCTGCTGTTTTGTTTCATGGTTTTAAGTGCCTTGCTTCATGGATTTCTATGTACTAATGGATCTTGTTTCCCTTTGGATTTTGGACTTTTAGTTTTTTGCTATTTTTTTTAACTTTACCGACGTATATTCTACAATAAACTACTTGCTGATTTTACTAAGTTGGTGTGTTATTGAAGGCCAGAGGTGTTCCTTCTCTGGTGAATGACAATACCAGGGGTTAGGGTGACCTAGAACCATAGAATCCTAAAGTTGGAAGAGACCATAAGGTCATCCATTCCAACCCCCTGCTATTCAGGAATCCACCACCCAAGCTCTCCCAAGAGATGGCCATCTATTCTAGACTCCTGAACCCCATTGCTAGTTCTGTGATTATATTATCTCAAGACTAATGTTCACTTCTCCCCTCCCTTTGTGTCTCCCACACCTTATTCCATCCAGACCTTGCTGAGAGCGACCAAGGCATTTATTCTTGCAGTCTCCACCACCATTATTGCCATTTGTACGAAACGGTGCAAGTACAGCTCACTGTCACCAAAAGACGTAAGTTTATATATAAGGGGCAGGAGGGAGGGACACTTATGTACTTGTGTGCCGGGTATTTTGCAGTATTTGGATTTGCTTGTTGTTGCTCCCTTACGTGTTTCTCTTTTGCTGCCTCAAACACACTGATGCGAAGTGGCCTTTTAAGTGCGCAGAAGAGCAGAGCAAATGAATGGCCAGGGGATTATACTTAAGATGTTTGTGGTCAGGGGAGCATTTCCTGTCTTGAGGCTGCTGAAAAAGAAAGGGATTTTGTATGCAAAACGAAGCTCTGAACTCCTGGGTTTTTGAGGATAGATCCAGAGTTGGGGAAATGTTCTTATATTTATTTATTTGTACCCCACTTTTCTTTTGGGACTGAGGTAAAGCGACTCACAACCTAAAAACCAGAACAAGGTTTCCATAACACAAAGGAAGTTCTTTATACTTCCTTCTTTGCTTCCATGCTGGGCTTCTTTCTCATGCAGATTAACAGCTTCACTCTCATAGAGCCCTCTTTCACACCAACGTTACACAGGAGCTTCACACAGTAGCTTTTTACACACAGTAGCCTTCACACACTGGGGTCTTCACACACCAGGGCCTTCAACATGGGGTTTCTCTCACAAAAGCTTCTCACACCAGGCCTTCTCCTACTGAAGCCTACTAACACTGAGGTCTACCTCACACTGAGGCCTTTCTCCCACTGAAGCCTTCTCACACACTGAGGGCTCTCTCAGACTGAGGTCTTTCTCACACACTGAGGCAAACCAACACTGATGGCTTCTCATACTAAGGCCTACAGGCACACGGAGGCCTTTCTCCCACTGAAGCCTTTTCACACACTGAGGGCTCTCTCAGACTGAGGCCTCTCTCACACACTGAGGCGAACCAACACTGATGGCTTCTCATACCAAGGTCTACAGGCACACTGAGGCCTTTCTCCCACTGAAGCCTTCTCACACACTGAGGGCTCTCTCAGACTGAGACTTCTCTCACAAACTGAGATGAACCAACACTGAGACCTTCTCATACTGAGGCTTTCTCACACACTGAGGCGAACCAACACTGATGGCTTCTCATACCAAGGTCTACAGGCACACTGAGGCCTTTCTACTGAAGTCTTCTCACACACTGAGCGCTCTCTCAGACTGAGGCCTCTCTCACAAACTGAGATGAACCAACACTGAGACCTTCTCATACTGAGGTTTTCTCACACACTGAGGGCTATCTCAGACCGATGCATCCCTCACACTGAGGTGAATTAACACCAAGGCCCTCTCATACAGAGGCCTACTAACACACTGAAGCCCTTCTCCCACAGAGAGCTCTCACAGACTGAGGTCTGCTAACTCTGAGGGTTACCTCAGACTGAGGTCTACGAAGCTACAGTCACACCTGCTCATATTGAATTGCAACTTGTTGTATCCATTTGACCCTTTCAGTGCTTGACTCTCATTTTCGTAATTAAAAATACAAATTAATTAGGTTAATTTTTAACATTTCTGACAATATGAACAGCCTGCGGGAAGCCCTTGAAGTCCAGGTGTGATCGCCATGATGTCATGGGAAGTAAAGTCACTCAGGACTGGTTTGCTTTGGGTGAAATTGTCCACCGTTGTGTCGAATGCGGTCTCTTCTGACCCACTTGTTTCTCCTGGGTGGTTTTCTTCAGCCAGAGAAGTGCAAGAGTATTGGGACGGGGAGAAACCGGTGATCGTGGCCCTGAAAGGCAGCACCGCCGTCCTCCCCTGCATCAACCGGAACCAAGTCTGGACCGAGCGGCATGACGAGGAGGACCAGCAAGTGGTCCACTGGGACCGCCAGCCGCCAGGAGTGCCCCACGACCGAGCTGACCGCCTCATCGACCTCTATGCCTCGGGAGAAGGGCGTTCCTATGGGCCCCTCTTCATGCGGCAGAAGATGAACATCACCGAGAAGGCCTTTGCCCTGGGCGACTTCTCCCTGAGGATCTCCGGTTTGGAAGTGGCCGACGAGGGCATCTACTCTTGCCACCTCCACCACCACTATTGCGGCCTCCATGAACGCAGGATCTTTCAGGTCTCGGTTGTGGAGCCAGAACCAGAAAGGAAGGTGGTGGTCAACATCACCCGCTCCAGTCCACCGGTTGCAGGTAGGTAGCCCCCTCTTTTCTCCTCCCTTCTCCTCTTTTTGCCTCTTGTCTTTTCTCATCTTATCTCTTTTTGTCTTTTTCTTCTCTTGTCTTTTTTTTCTTGTCTTCTCGCCTTACTTCTGGTATTTTCCCTGTTCTTGTCTTTCCTCCTCTCTTCACTTCTTCTCTCTCATCTTTTCTCTTCTCCTCTTTTCTAATCTCTTATTGTCTTTCCTTCTCTCCTCTCTCATCTTTCCTTTTCTCCTCCCTTATCCTCTTTTCTTGTATTTCCTCCTCTCCTCTCTCATCTTTCCTTTTTCTCCTCTCTCTTCTTCTTTTCTCCTTTCTTCTCTTCTCCTCTCCCATAATCTCTTCTTGTCTTTCCTCCTCTCCTTTGTCATCTTTTTGCTCCTCTCCTCTCTTCTCCTGTCTTCTCATCTCTTCTTGTCTTTCCTCCTCTCTTCCCTTCTTCTCTCTCATCTTTTCTCTTCTCCTCCCTTCTAATCTCTTCTTGTCTTTCCTCCTCTCTTCTCTCATCTTTCCTTTTCTCCTCTCTCTTCTTCTTTTCTCATTTCTTCTCTTCTCATCTCTTCTTGTCTTTCCTCCTCTCCTTTGTCTTCTTTTTTCCTCCTCTCCTCTCTTCTCCTGTCTTCTCATCTCTTCTTGTCTTTCCTCCTCTCCTCTCTCCTGTCCTCTTTCATCTTTTCTCCTCTCCTCTCTCATCTCTTCTTGTCTTTCTTCCTCTACCCTCAAACCTTGTCTTTTCTCCTCTTTTCTCTTTTCCTCTCTACTCTCCTCTCCTCTCAAATTTTTTCTCCTCTCCTCACCTCTCCTCTCTCCTCTCCTCTCTCATCTTTTCTTTTCTCCTCTCCTCTCTCTTCTTTTCTCCTCTTTTCTCTTCTCCTCTCTTCATGTCTTTCATCCTCTCCTCTCTCAACTTTTCTCTTCTCTTCTCCTCCCTTCTTGGTGGGCAGTATGGTGTTTGGGGAGGATATTGGCAGGACTCTCGGACATGTTCATGGTGCTCGCTATAACCTGAAATGTCTTCAGAGGGAGGGCCATTGGTGGCGCCTCAGCACTGTGGGTTAAAGTTGTTTGTGAAAGTGGGAGCCTGTCTGTGGAAGAGGGAATCAGCAGGTTTCCCCTGTAATAGGCAGTAAGAGCACCTAAAGTTTTGGCAAGCTTCTGTTTAACCATTTCAAAGCTCCCTGTTTGGGCGGTGATGGCATGATCGTCAGTATAGATGAAATTCTCTGTCCCTTCTGGCAGTGGCTGGTCATTTGTGTAGATATTAAACATAGATGGAGCAAGCTGGTTTTCCCTGTAATAGGCAGTAAGAGCACCTCAAGCTTTGGAGAGCTTCTGTTCAACCATTTCAAAGTTCCCTGCTTGGGTGGTGATGGCACGATCGTCAGCATAGATGAAACTCTCTATCCCTTCTGGCATTGGCTGGTCATTTGTGTTGATGTTAAACATTGATGGAGCAAGCTGCTTTTCCTTGTAATAGGCAATAAGAGCACCTCAAGCTTTTGAGAGCTTCTGTTCAACCATTTAAAGCCCCCTACTTGGGCAGTGATGGCACGATTGTCAGCATAGATGAAACTCTTTATCCCTTCTGGCAGTGTCTGATCAGAAGGGATGTTTGCAGAAAGGAAGAGATAAATTGGAGAAAAGAGACAGAAAACACCGAAGGAGGATTAGAGCTTCGGAGAGCTTCTGTTCAACCATGTCAAAGTCCCCTGATTGGGTGGTGATGGCACGATCGTCAGCATAGATGAAACTCTTTTTTGCTTCTGGCAGTGGCTGATCATTTGTGTAAATGTTAAACATTGATTGGAGCAAGCGTGTTGTCCCTGTAATAGGCAGTAAGAGCACCTAAAGCTTTGACAAGCTTCTGTTCAACCATTTCAAAGCTCCCTGCTTGGGCGGTGATGGTGCGATCATCAGCATAGATGAAACTCTCTGTCCCTTCTGGCAGTGGTGAGTCATTTTTGTAAATGTTAAACATTGATGATGCAAGCTAGTTTTCCCCATAATAGGCAGTAAGAGCACCTCAAGCTTCGGAGAGCTTCGGTTCAACCGTTTCAAAGTTTGGGCGGTGATGGCATGATCGTCAGCATATATGAAACTCTTCCGTTTTCTTCCCTTCCCTTCTGGAAGTGGCTGATCATTAAACATTGCAGCAACTGAAGTAAGCTGAGGACAAAGGGGGAGGAAAGGAGAGAAACCGGGACATCTGATAAGCAGATGAAAATATTTTAAAGGCAACAGATTCATTGGGAGTCTTTGTCCCAAACTGGGCAGTTTGCAGAGCCAGGTCCCAATTCACAATCCAGACCTTGACCTTAAAGCAGAGGAAACGGGCAAGAAGGACACCCACACTGGAATGTATTTCAGCTGGAACAGGAAATTGGACCGAATTCCTTCAACGCGATGACTACTGGATTGCTGTGTATATACATATTTTCCCGCTGTGAGCGAAGGGTGGAGCGGAGCAGAAACTAGCTCAAGGAGAACTTGCTGAATCGGTGGAAACCATAGTGAGATATAGACCTCACGAAGCCCTCAAAGTTCAGAGACAAGGCTCTTTGGGTGGAAAAACCCTCCCCAGATGCATGCGAAAGCTTCTCCCCGGGATCTTCTGCTTCCTGGGCCCAGCTCCAAGGCTCTTGTTTTCGCTTCCCCTGCCGTCGGAGTTCACTCTTGATCTCTCAGCAGAAGGTTCTCCTCGGCAACGACAACAGTTCGCCATCTGTTCCTGGTTAGGAGTTGTTTGCATTTCCCGACGACGACGACGTGGAAAGGAACACTGATTGCAGATAGACAACCAATGGTTGGCGTCTCTGCCTCAGAGTGCTGTAGACTCTCCTTCTCTGGAGGATTTCAAGCCGAGGCTGGGTGGCCATCTGCTGGGAGGGTTGAATTGTGCTTTCCTGCATGGCCATTGTGGTTTCTTCCAACTCTATGACAGCAAAGTGAAATCAGTGGTCCCTTGGGCTCTTTGCTCAGGCCCTCCTCTCTCTCATCATCCCATCCTTCCTTCCCTCTTTCCTTCCTCCTTCCCTCCCTCCCTTCCATATCTCCCCCTTCCTCCTTCTCTCCTTCCTTCCCTTTCATCCTTTCGTTCTCCCGTTTCTCCCTTCTTCCCCCTCCCTCTTTCTCCTTCCTTTCTTCCCTTTTGTCTTTCCTTATCTCTTCCCTCCCTTCCCTCAATTCCCTCCTTCCATCTTTCCTTCCTTCCTTCCTTCCTCCTTCCTTCCTTCTTCCCTCCCTCCCTCCTCCCCTCTCTTCTCTTCCTCTTTCCTCTTCCTTCCCTCCTCCTTCTCTTCCTCCATCCTTCCACCCTTCCTTCCTTCCTTTCTTCCTTCCTTCTCTCTCTCCTTCCTTCCTCCCCCTTTCATCCTTTCATTCTCCTATTTCTCCTTTCCCTTCTTCCCCTCCTCTTTCTCCTTCCTTCCTTCCTTCCTTCCTTCCTTCCTCCATTTCTTCCCTGGAGACTAGGACCAATGCTTCAAACTACAAGAGAGGAGATTCCATCTGAACATGAGGAAGAACTTCCTGACTGTGAGAGCCGTTCAGCAGTGGAACTCTCTGCCCCAGAGTGTGGTGGAGGCTCCTTCTTTGGAAGATTTTAAACAGAGGCTGGATGGCCATCTGTCAGGGGTGATTTGAATGCAATATTCCTGCTTCTTGGCAGAGGGGTTGGACTGGATGGCCCATGAGGTCTCTTCCAACTCTTTGATTCTAGGATTCTATGATTCCACCCTTTCTTTCTTCCTTCTTTCCCTTTTTCCTTCCTCCTTCTCTCCCTCCCTCCTCCTTACCTCCCTCTTTTCTTCCTCTCTTCCCTTCCACTCTTTTCTTCATATCTCTCTCTCTCTTTCTCTTCCTCCTCCCTCCCTCCTTCATTCCTTCCCTTTTGTCTTTCGTTCCTTCTCTCCTCCCTCCCTTCCTTCTATCCTTCTCTTTCTCCTTTTTTTCTTTTCCTACCTCCTTTCCTCTTGGGGGATGTTTAGCTGGGAGACCCTCCCTTACCTGTTTTTCTCCCCCCCCTTTCATCCTTCCCCCTTTCCTCCCTCCTTCCTTCTCTCTTTCCCCTTCCTTTTTTCCTTGCCCCTTTCCTCCCTCCTTCCCTCTCTCTCTTTCTTTCCTTCTTTCTTTCCCTTCCTCCCCTTCCTCTTCACTTTCGGAGCCAGAAAGGGAGAGACGGGAAATGTTTGGATCCCAAAGCGTGTCAGTGTGAGAGGCCTCAGTATGAGAATGCCTCAATGTTAGTAGGCCTCAGTGTGAGGTAAGCCTCAGTGTGCGCAGATCCCAAAAGGGTTGACCGTGGTCAGGATGAGATGAAAGACGGGAGAGAAAAGATGTCTCCATTAGACCCTGTGTTGCCTACTCCTGATATAGAATCCTAGAATCCTCAGTGTGTGAGGTGTGTGTTGACAGGAAACATTTGGACCACAAAGGGGTTCAGTGTGAGTGGTCTCAGTGTGAGAATGCATCAGTGTTAGTAGACCTCAGTGTGAGAGAAGGTGTACATGGACGGGAAACATTTGGACCCCAAAGGAGTTCAGTGTGAGAGGTCTCAGTGTGAGAATGCATCAGTGTTAGTAGACCTCAGTGTGAGAGAAGGTGTACATGGACGGGAAACATTTGGACCCCAAAGGGGTTCAGTGTGAGAGGTCTCAGTGTGAGAATGCATCAGTGTTAGTAGACCTCAGTGTGAGAGAAGGTGTACATGGACGGGAAACATTTGGACCCCAAAGGGGTTCAGTGTGAGAGGTCTCAGTGTGAGAATGCATCAGTGTTAGTAGACCTCAGTGTGAGAGAAGGTGTACATGGACGGGAAACATTTGGACCCCAAAGGGGTTCAGTGTGAGAGGTCTCAGTGTGAGAATGCATCAGTGTTAGTAGACCTCAGTGTGAGAGAAGGTGTACATGGACGGGAAACATTTGGACCCCAAAGGGGTTCAGTGTGAGAGGTCTCAGTGTGAGAATGCATCAGTGTTAGTAGACCTCAGTGTGAGAGAAGGTGTACATGGACGGGAAACGTTTGGACCCCAAAGGGGTTCAGTGTGAGAGGTCTCAGTGTGAGAATGCATCAGTGTTAGTAGACCTCAGTGTGAGAGAAGGTGTACATGGACGGGAAACATTTGGACCCCAAAGGGGTTCAGTGTGAGAGGTCTCAGTGTGAGAATGCATCAGTGTTAGTAGACCTCAGTGTGAGAGAAGGTGTACATGGACGGGAAACATTTGGACCCCAAAGGGGTTCAGTGTGAGAGGTCTCAGTGTGAGAATGCATCAGTGTTAGTAGACCTCAGTGTGAGAGAAGGTGTACATGGACGGGAAACATTTGGACCACAAAGGATTCAGTGTGAGAGGTCTCAGTGTGAGAATGCATCAGTGTTAGTAGACCTCAGTGTGAGAGAAGGTGTACATGGACGGGAAACATTTGGACCCCAAAGGGGTTCAGTGTGAGAGGTCTCAGTGTGAGAATGCATCAGTGTTAGTAGACCTCAGTGTGAGAGAAGGTGTACATGGACGGGAAACATTTGGACCCCAAGGGGGTTCAGTGTGAGAGGTCTCAGTGTGAGAATGCATCAGTGTTAGTAGACCTCAGTGTGAGAGAAGGTGTACATGGACGGGAAACATTTGGACCCCAAAGGGGTTCAGTGTGAGAGGTCTCAGTGTGAGAATGCATCAGTGTTAGTAGACCTCAGTGTGAGAGAAGGTGTACATGGACGGGAAACATTTGGACCCCAAAGGGGTTCAGTGTGAGAGGTCTCAGTGTGAGAATGCATCAGTGTTAGTAGACCTCAGTGTGAGAGAAGGTGTACATGGACGGGAAACATTTGGACCCCAAAGGGGTTCAGTGTGAGAGGTCTCAGTGTGAGAATGCATCAGTGTTAGTAGACCTCAGTGTGAGAGAAGGTGTACATGGACGGGAAACATTTGGACCCCAAAGGGGTTCAGTGTGAGAGGTCTCAGTGTGAGAATGCATCAGTGTTAGTAGACCTCAGTGTGAGAGAAGGTGTACATGGACGGGAAACATTTGGACCCCAAAGGGGTTCAGTGTGAGAGGTCTCAGTGTGAGAATGCATCAGTGTTAGTAGACCTCAGTGTGAGAGAAGGTGTACATGGACGGGAAACATTTGGACCCCAAAGGGGTTCAGTGTGAGAGGTCTCAGTGTGAGAATGCATCAGTGTTAGTAGACCTCAGTGTGAGAGAAGGTGTACATGGACGGGAAACATTTGGACCCCAAAGGGGTTCAGTGTGAGAGGTCTCAGTGTGAGAATGCATCAGTGTTAGTAGACCTCAGTGTGAGAGAAGGTGTACATGGACGGGAAACATTTGGACCCCAAAGGGGTTCAGTGTGAGAGGTCTCAGTGTGAGAATGCATCAGTGTTAGTAGACCTCAGTGTGAGAGAAGGTGTACATGGACGGGAAACATTTGGACCCCAAAGGGGTTCAGTGTGAGAGGTCTCAGTGTGAGAATGCATCAGTGTTAGTAGACCTCAGTGTGAGAGAAGGTGTACATGGACGGGAAACATTTGGACCCCAAAGGGGTTCAGTGTGAGAGGTCTCAGTGTGAGAATGCATCAGTGTTAGTAGACCTCAGTGTGAGAGAAGGTGTACATGGACGGGAAACATTTGGACCCCAAAGGGGTTCAGTGTGAGAGGTCTCAGTGTGAGAATGCATCAGTGTTAGTAGACCTCAGTGTGAGAGAAGGTGTACATGGACGGGAAACATTTGGACCCCAAAGGGGTTCAGTGTGAGAGGTCTCAGTGTGAGAATGCATCAGTGTTAGTAGGTCTCAGTGTGAGAGAAGGTGTACATGGACGGGAAACATTTGGACCCCAAGGGGGTTCAGTGTGAGAGGTCTCAGTGTGAGAATGCATCAGTGTTAGTAGACCTCAGTGTGAGAGAAGGTGTACATGGACAGGAAACATTTGCACCTCAAAGGATTCGGTGTGAGAGGCCACAGTATGAGAACTGTGCAAGGAGGGGGCTTGGGGAGGAGCCCCTCCCTCCCGGCCCACCATATGGCCCCCAAGTTAGAAAATTTGCCGTGAAAAACTGTTCGACAAATGTTATTTGAAGCCTGGCCTTCCCCTTTGCTTTCTCCTCGGCCTCAAAGATTTCTTTCCCTTTCCCTGAAGTCAAAGAAAACAAACCCACGCTGCCTTTGATCTGGATTTGTCTCGCCCCTTGAAGATTGCAATATGGCTCGAGATCGACGAAAAACACACATTCCACGCTTGGCGAGGCGGCCTGTGTTTTCCTCTGCTGGCCCGACACACAAAAGCTGCTCCACCCTGCAAAGGAATGAATTCCTGGCTTTACTGACAGCGTTTGTGTGTGCGTGTGTCTAGTGGAGCTCGTCTGATTCTATTGGAGTCAATGGGTGCAGAAAGGGCGGCTTTTCACCTGCGCATCAAGCGGATACTCCTTCTTTACGAGCCAAATTGATTCTAGGAACGTGACGGGGTGTCACATCAAGTGTGCACTGGGTTTTCAAAGGGAGTGTAAGTTGGGTTGCTGTGAGTTTTCCTGGCTGTAAAACCGTGTTCCAGAAGCATTCTCTCCTGACGTTTTGCCCACATCTATGGCAGGCATCCTCAGACATTGTGAGGTCTGTTGGAAACTAGGCAAGTGGGTGGGAGAAAAAACTCTTGTCTGTTTGGTGCAATTGGCCACCATGAATAGATTGAATATCCTTGCAGCTTCAAAGCATGGCTGCTTCCTGCCTGGGGGAATCCTTTGTTGGGAGGTGTTAGCTGACCTTGATTGTTTCCTGTCTGGAATTCCCATTTGCCCCCAGGCAGGAAGTAGCCAGGCTTTGAAGATTCAAGGCCATTCAATTCTAATCAAGGTGGCCAATGGCAACATTCACACCTGCCTCAAATCGACAAGAGTTGGGGCTTCTCTCATAATGATGCACTCTCTCACACCAGGTCTTCACACACTGAGGCCTACTTACACTGAGGCCTGCCTCACACTGAAACCTTTCTCACACCGATGCCCTCTCACACTGAGGCGTTAGGTGGTCAATGGCAACATTCACACCTGCCTCAAACAGACAAGAGTTGGGACTTCTCTCACAATGAGGCACTCTCTCACACCAGGCCTTCACACACTGAGGCCTACCTCACACTGAGGCCTTTCTCACACTGAGGCCCTCTCACATTGCGATTCATCCATCCATTCTCAAACAAAAAAGAATTGGAGCTTCTCTCACAATGAGGCACTCTCACACACCAGGCCTTCACACACTGAGGCCTACCTCACACTGAAGCCTTTCTCACACTGAGATGTTAGGTGGCCAATGGCAACATTCACACCTGCCTCAAACAGACAAGAGTTGGGACTTCTCTCACAATGACGTGCTCTCGCACACTAGGCCGTCACAGACTGAGGCCTACTAACAATGAGGTCTTTCTCACACTGAGGCCCTCTCACACTGAGATGTTAAGTGGCCAATGGCAACATTCTCACCCTACCTCACACTGAGGCCTTTCTCACACTGAGGCCCTCTCACATTGCGATTCATCCATCCATCCTCAAACAAACAAGAATTGGGGCTTCTCTCACAATGAGGCACTCTCACACCAGGCCTTCACACACTGAGGCCAACCTCACACTGAGGCCTTTCTCACATGGAGGCCATCTCACATTGCAATGTTAGGTGGCCAATGGCAACATTCACACCTGCCTCAAACAGACAAGAGTTGGGGCTTCTCTCACAATGAGGCGCTCTCCCACACCAGGCCTTCACACACCGAGGCCTACTAACACTGAGGCCTACCTCACACTGAGGCCTTTCTCACACTGAGGCCCTCTCACACTGAGGCATTAGACTGTGATCTCCCTCACACTGAGGCAAACTAACCCTGAGGCCTTCTCATACAGAGGCCTCCTAACACACTGGGGCCCTTCTCCCACAGAGACCTCTCACAGACTGAAGCTACTAAGCTATAGGCACGCCTGCTTATATTGAACTGCAGTATTTTCAGAGTCATTGCATCCATTTAACCCTTCCCGTGCTTGACTCACATTTTTGTAATTAATATTTCTGACAGTCTTCTCTTTCCTGCTTTTCCCAATCCAGACCCAAACGCAGGGCACAGCCACAATGTCATCAACGTCATCATTCCGGATAGCCGGGCCCATTTCTTCCACCAGCTGAGCTACATCCTGCCGATGCTGTTGCTCTTTATCCTGCTCCTGATCCTTGTGGTTCTCATCACTCATAAACACCGGAGGAGAGGTGGGTCTTTGGACAATGGGTGCATCTCGCACCACGAGAAATGTACAGTACGACACTTAGGCCATGAAAATGAAATTTACAGATAGAGGACGGGTGACACCTGGTTGAAAGGGATCTAGGTGTCCTAGTAGATCACAAGCTGAGTATGAACCAACAGTGTGCTACGACAGCTAAAAAGGACTTGGAAACAATTAACAACTTCAGCAAAGCTTTGGAGAGCTTCTGTTCAACTATTTGAAAGCTCCCTGTTTGAGCGGTGATGGCATGATCATCAGCATAGATGAAACACTTTGTCCCTTCTGGCAGTGGCTGATCATTTGCGTAAGCAAGCACACTCTCCTTAGGTCTTAGAAGCAATTTTCAGCAAAGCTTTTCAGCAAAGCTCTGTTCAACTATTTGAAAGCTCCCTGCTTGAGCGGTGATGGCATGATCGTCAGCATAGATGAAACTCTTTGTCCCTTCTAGCAGTGGCTGGTCATTTGCGTAAATGTTACACATCAGGAGGGCTGAGAAACAGTGATCTAGATCAAGGAAAGTCATAGTCATGGCCTGTTGTGGCTGAGATGTTTCCTGATGTTGAGGATGATGGGATTCAGATTCTTGGGTCTTTTTCTGTGCCTCAGATCTCTGGGCCTGCTTCTAGGTCTTTTTCTGAGGCTCCCACAGACAGTGGAGAGTCAACAACACAGCGGTTCTCAGAAGAAAATAATTTTAACGAAGGAGATAGTGAACAGGTGGGGAGGCTTTTGCCTCCTTCCCACACTGATACTGAAAGTGCAGAAAGCCGTGATAGTGACCTGACCCGGCAGGCTCATCTTGATTTGCGGGTCAGGCAGAGTTCTCAGCTGGCCGGCAGATGGGAAGCCAGCTCGGGCCAAGGTCATCGCAATGCTTTCATGTTGGTGAGAGCATAATGTTTTCATGTTAGAAAGGCATTTAGGCTTCTTGCAAACTAAGGGAAAGCATCAGTTCAACATAGCTTATTAGCTTGAAAGCTTCATGGATTACCTTAGCTGGCAAGCAGCATGCTTGGGATTTCTTGCATTGTGATTCTTGGGGCAATTGTCTTTGCTTGTACCTTGTTTTTACCTAAAGATCTTTGGAACTATATTCTGCATTTAACCTAAATCTTTGGAACTTTGCAATGCTTATTCTTTATTTTGACTTGGATTTTTTCCTCAATAAACTATAAAACTACAGCTCTTGTGTGGTGGTGTTTGGAAGCAAGGTGAAGCTTACTCTGAGTTGCAACATGGCCCTGTGTTGTAAATACCTAAACCCTCTTTCCTCTTGTTTCTAGGTTTTGAGTACAACGTGAAGAAATATGATGAGTAAGTAGGAACTATCCTGCATGGGAGGATATCTGGTTTAGATCCTTTTTGGATGCATCTAATTAATGTAATCTCAGCCCTATTTGAACTTCTCTAGCTCGGTGTTTTGGGAATTTGAGAATAGTAGTCTGGGAAGGCACTAGCTCCCTTAGGCAGAGAAGGTGACAGATCTTGTAAAACTGTAAGTCCCAGGAAACGACACGAGAAAGTGTAAATAGATGCCTTCTTGGAATATTGAAATCAATGATAATATACTTTATTTATATTCCGCTTTATCTCCCCGGCAAACAATTAACACAGACAGACAGTACGCAAACAGAGGCAAAGGCTTCCCATCTTTTTCCATCTCTGGTATCTGGAGATGAAAGAAGGAAGGGAAGGAGAAAGGAAAAAGAGAAGGAAGGAAAGACAAAAGGGAAGGAAGAATGGAAGGAGAAAGAGGGAGAGAGGGAGGAAAGAGGGAAGGAATGAAGGATGAAAGGGTGGAAGGATGAAAGGAGAAAGAGGGAGGAAAGTAAGGGAGGTAAGGAGGGAAAAAAGAGAAGGAAGGAAAGGCAAAAGGGAGAGAAGGATGAAAGGATGGATGGAAGGGAAGGAGGAAGGAAAGAGAAGAAAGGAAGGACAAAAGGGAAGTAAGGGAAGGATGGAAGGAGAAAGAGGGAGAGAGGGAAGGCGAAAGGAAAGAGGGAAGGAAGGAAAGACAAAAGGGGAGGAAGGAAGGATGAAAGAGTGGAAGGAAAGAAGGAAGGGAAGGAGAAAGGAAAAAGAGAAGGAAGGGGAGGATAAAGGAAAGACAAAAGGGAAGGAAGAATGGAAGGAGAAAGAAGGAAAGAGGGAAGGAAGGATGAAAGGGTGGAAGGAAAGGATAGAAAGAGAAAGCAGGAGGAAAGTGGAGGAGGTAAGGAGGAAGGAAGGAGAAGGAAGGAAGGGCAAAAGGGAGGATGGGAAGGATGGAAGGAGAAAGAGGGAGAGAGGGAAGGAGAAAGGAAAAAGAGAAGGAAGGGAAGGATAAAGGAGAGAAGGAAGGAAAAATGGAAGGGGGGGAAGGATGGAAGGAGAAAGAGGAAAAGAGGGAGGAAAGAGGGAAGGAAGGATGAAAGGGTGGAAAGGAAGGACGTAAGAAGAAAGAGGGAGGAAAGTGAGGGAAGTAAGGAGGAAGGAAAGAAGGAAGGATAGACAAAAGGGAGGGAAGGACAAAAGGATGGATGGAAGGAAGGGAAGGAAAGGAGGAAAGGAAGAGTGAAGGAAGGACAAAGGGGGAGGAAGGAACGAAAAAGAGGCAGAGAGGGAAGGAAGGAAGGACGAAAGGGTGGAAGGGAAGGAGGAGGGAAGGAAGGGAAGGATAGAATGGTGAGAGAAAGAGGAGAGCCTGGGAAAAGAGCCCAAGGGGGCCACATCCGGCCCCCAGGCCTGGATTTGCCCATACCTGCCTTAGATGCTCTCCTGATTGAATCGCCGGCATGTCCACATGGGCACCTTTTATTACCTCCCCGCCAAAGCGGTACCTATTTATCTACTCACATTACTGTTTTCAAACTACTAGGTGAGCAGAAGCTGGGCTGATGGTTGGTCGACCTTTTGATTGGCGAGATTTTCAGCAGCTGGTGGTTTTACCCGCTTGTGCTAAAGCCTGGCCCTAATAGACAGTTTCAGAAGGATAGAAACTGGAAATGCATCTTGCTACAAAACCAAAACGGGAACTCTTCCTCTTCTTTTCCAGGAAAGATATCCATCTCAGAGACTTCCCAGTTGATACAACTGATTTGCCCAACTATAAAAATGAAGACATAAGGCTGGGTAAGTGATTAAAGTGTTATTTTTCGTGTCACAACCTCTTGCAGTCCGTGCGGTTCTCTGACCCGGGTTCTCTTTCTTTTCCAGATTACAAGAACAACATTCTGAAGGAGAAGTCAGAACAGAACCGGTTCCTCCCCGCCAAAAACATTGATCTAGATAAAGGTGAGAAGCCGGCAGAGACACCTTTTTCTTCCTCCTCTTCTTTTCCTCTTCCTTCCTTTCCTCCTTTTGTTCTTTCTCCTTCTCTGACTTTCCCTCTTCCTTCTCTTTTTCCTCCATTTTCCTTCTTTCTCTTCTGTTGCACTCCAGGCCAGGAAGCCCTCTGACTTTAAGCACCATACATCTGAGCAAAATGCAAGCAGTTTATTGAAGATAATTAAAAGCAGTAGCTGCAAAAAGCAATCCACAAAAATAGGTAGAATAGAAAGATAGGAACAACACATCCAGGAAACAGTCCATCAGAGTTCATGACAACAAATACTGGAACTTCTGAGGCAAAACCCCAAATCTTGAGCATGAATCAAACAAGGCACTTTAGCATTGAAATAACAAGGCACTTGATACAAGAATCTGTCAGGACCCAGTTTCCAGGGCCTTGCTTTTGATAAGACACCTGTGGCTGCTGATCCTGAAAGAAAACGGCCAGCGGTTTGGGTGGGTGAATTACTTGGGTTTTTTGTGCTTGGTGGGAGAGACATTTTTGAATGAGGGGGAGAGTATATAAGGAGGTGCCGGCCGGTGCCAGGCAATCTCGGTTTTTTGAAGGTCTATGCTTCCAGCAGTAAAGATCAACAATCGGGTCACACCGTCTACAGAAAACTCACACACACAGATAGATATCTACATAAAAACTCCAACCATCACCCAAGTCAAAAAAGAAGCCCCATTAAAGCCTTGGCAGACCATGCAAAAAGAATCTGCGAAGCCCACCTCCTCCAAGATGAACTGAAGCACCTCAACTGGGCTCTCCAGGCCAATGGAGACTCCACCTCAGACATCAGACCAAGACCAAGACCAAGCCACGAGAGTCAAGATGAAGATCCACCCAGAGGGAAAGTGTTCTTGCCATACATCAAGGGAACCACTGACCGCAGAGGGAAGCTGATGAGGAAACACAACATACAAACAATCTACAAACCCACCAAGAAGATCCAACAAATGCTCCGTTCAGCAAAGGACAAGAGGGATCCTCTCACCTCTGCAGGAGTCTACCATTGTATACCATGCAGCTGTGGACAAGTCTACAGAGGGACCACCAAACGCAGCATTGCCCAGACACGCATCAAGGAACATGAAAGGCACTGCAGACTCCTTCAACCAGAGAAGTCAGCCATAGCAGAGCACCTGATGAACCAGCCTGGACACAGCATCTTATTTGAGAACACAGAAATGCTGGACCACACCAACAACCACCATGCCAGACTGCACAGAGAAGCCATGGAAATCCACAAGCATGTGGACAATTTCAACAGAAAGGAAGAGACCATGAAAATGAACAAAATCTGGCTACCAGTATTAAAAAACTCTAAAATTACAACAGCAAAACAACAGAGAGGAAACAACCAGGCACATCTTAGCACCTCTCAACAGGGGATTTTCCCAGGCTCAGCCAGGCCTTCAAATGCTAATGAAGGTGGTCAGTTGAAACATTCACACCTAGCTCCAGCAGGGAAGAGCTCTTTGCCCCACCCTGGTCATTCCACAGATATATAAACCCATTGTCCTACTTCCAACAGACCTCACTACCTCTGAGGATGCTTGCCATAGATGCAGGCAAAACGTCAGGAGAAATGCCTCTAGAACATGGCCCTATAGCCCAAAAAAACCCACAAGAACCTAGTAAAGTTTCTCTTTGATACCAGAGCGTGGTCCTGTGTTTTCATTGGGAGCAGCCACTGTGAGCTGACATCTAAGCCGAGATTACCAGCACTATCCCGTGGCTGCAGTGAGGTGTGAACATGCAGGAAGAAGAATTGCAAGAGGAGAGGGAAACCTTCTTCAAAAAGGAGGGGGGCACGCTGAAACCCCCCTCCAAAGACACAGGAGCGGAGCTCGACCGGCCGGTAGCCCTGGCTTCGTCCACGGCATACGCCCAGCTGAACGGAGTGACCCAGAGGCAGCCTCAGAGGCAGAGGGGCAGCACTGGCAGAGGTGGCGAGCTCAGCTTTCCATCACCCCAAAGGCTGGCATTCTTAGAGGGGAGGGTACTGGCAATGGAACCTACTTTGGAGACGATGTCCCCTTTGGTGGAAACGGAGGAGGGAGAGGAGCCCCGAGCAGAGTTGCTGTACAACATAAGCTCGAGGAGCAGCCAGGGGCCAGCGGACCTCCCAACAGCAAAGTGGAAAGGAGCGAGGAGGGGGCTGGGAGACCGTCCTAAAACCCAAGCGAGTTGGACAAGAGGCGAGGAGAGGCAAGGCTTCCACGGGCCTGAGATGATGTCTTGACTGAATTCCAACATTGCTTCGTCTGACTACAGATTCTGTACTTGGCACTTTTATCCCCTAATCGACTCTATATCCCAAGCAGCCAGGAAAGGATTTCTTTTCAGCCTTGACTCTATTATCAGTCTCTCTTGTAATCTGGCAGAGTGCCTGAGAGCCTGGTTTGTTTTCCTTTGCTGACTGAAAGCACGTCTCCTATCTACTGGCTCATTCATTTCTGCAGCTGGCCCAGGTGCCGAGCCTTTCTCGGGCTCAAAGCCTTGGGAATTCTCTGGTAGCAATTCAAGGAAAGGATTTCTTTTCAGCCTTGACTCTATTATCAGTCTCTCTTGTAATCTGGCAGAGCGCCTGAGAGCCTGGTTTGTTTTCCTTTGCACGTCTGCTATCTACTGGCTCATTAATTTCTGCAGCTGGCCCAGGTGCTGAGCCTTTCTCAGACTCAAAGCCTTGGGAATTCTCTGGTAGTAATTCAGGCCCAGGGAACAGACCATCCTCCCCAAACCCTTCAGGAATGTTCTCATCAGAAAATTCATTTTGAACAGGAATCCCATTGGCATTCCCTGCATCTAGAGCAGTGTTTCTCAACCTGGGGGTCGGGACCCCTGAGGGGGTCGCGAAGGGGTGTCAGAGGGGTCGCCAAAGACCATCAGAAAACACAGTATTTTCTGTTGGTCATGGGGGTTCTGTGTGGGAAGTTTGGCCCAATTCTGGCATTGGTGGGGTTCAGAACGCTCCTTGATTGTAGGTGAACTATAAATCCCAGTATCTACAACTCCCAAATGTCAAAGTCTGTGTTCCCCAAATCCCATCAGTGTTCACATTTGGGCATACTGAGTATACGTACCAAGTTTGGTCCAGATCCATCATTGTTTGAGCCCACAGTGCTCTCTGGATGTAGGCGAACTACAACTCCCAAACTCAACACCCACCAAACCCAGTATTTTCTGTTGATCATGGGAGTCCTCTGTGCCAACTTTGGTTCAATTCCATTGTTGGTGGGGTTCAGAATGCTCTTTGTTTACATATAAACTACAACTCCCAAATAATGAAATCAATCCCCCCGACAACCCCACCAGTATTCAAATTTGGGCATACTGGGTATTTGTGCCAAATTTGCTCCAGTGAATGAAAATACATCCTGCAAATCATTATTTACATGGCAATTCATAATGTTAGGGTTATGGTTGGGGTCACCACAACATGAGGAACTGTATTAAGGGGTCACAGCATTAGGAAGGTTGAGAACCACTGATCTAGAGCAACCTCATCATTAGACACATGAACCTCATTGTCACTCCCAACATCCAGAGTACCCTGATCATTAGACACAATCACAGGCCGAACTCCAATACTCTCCACCTTTTACCCTTCCCCCTTTTCCTCCTTTTCTTCTTCCTCTCTCTACACCACCTCCTCCTCCTCTTTCTTCTCAACTCTTCAGAGGTGGAAAAAAAACTTCTCACAATATGAGTTCCATCTCAAGCACAAGCTCAAGTCCCATCACCTTTTCTTTTCCCTTTCAGATTTCCGGAAAGAATACTGTAAATGAGAACGACCACTCCAAGCGACTGGCTGGACCAGGAGCTCCGTTTGGAATTTTTAAAAAAGCTTTCTTTTTCTTCTCTTTTTGAAAAAAGAAATGCCACATTTCCAACCACCAGATCTTCTTTGTAGACTTCCTTCCTGTCTTTTTGGGGAGTAAGTCCCAGAGACAGCGATAGGCCTTAATTCTGAGTAGGCAGGTACTGAACTGTGCTCTTAAACGTCCTCTTTATTATCCTGCTTCCTTATGTATCCAATGTTGCATTTTTAATGTAATTATTGAATTATTACCCAAGTCTTGTCACCTTAAGGCAAGCGTGGGCCAACTTTAGCCCTCCAGGTGTTTTGAACTACAACTCCCACAATTCCTAACAGCCTCAGGCTCTTTCCTTTTCCCCTCAGATGCTTAAGCTTGAGCATTGATGGCCCGATCATCAGCATAGATAAAACTCTTTGACCATTCTCGCAGTAGCTGGTCATTTGTGTAAATGTTAAACATTGATAGAGAAAGCTTTGGAGAGCATCTAAAGCTTTGGAGAGCTTCTATTCAACCATTTCAAAGCTCCCCGCTTGAGCAGTGATGGCACGATCGTCAGCATAGATGAAACTCTCTGTTGCTTCTGGCAGTGGCTCCTCATTTGTGTAAATGTTCAACATTGATGGTACAACCTGGTTTTCTCTGTAATAGGTAGTAAGAGAAAGCTTCAGAGAGCTTCTGTTCAATCATTTCAAAGCTCCCTGCTTGAGTGGTGATGTCACAATCATCTGCATAGATTAAACTCTCTGTCCATTCTGGCAGTGGCTGATCATTAGTGTAAATGTTAAACATTGATGACGCAAGCTAGTGTTCCCTGTAATAGGCAGTAAGAGCACCTAAAGCTTTGGAGAGCTTGTCTTCAACGATTTCAAAGCTCCCTTCTTGAGTGGTGATGGCACAATCGTCAGCATAGATGAAACTCTCTGTCCCTTCTGGCAGTGGCTGGTCATTTATGTAAATCTTAAACATTGATGGTGCAAGCTTCTGAGAGCTTGTCTTCAACATTTCAAAGCTCCCCGCTTGGGCGGTGATGGCACGATCATCAGCATAGATTAAACTCTCTGTGCCTTCTGGCAGTGGCTGATCATTTGTGTAAATGTTAAACTTTGATGGAACAAGCTTCGGCCTGGTGTGAGAGAGTGCCTCATTGTGAGAGAAGCCCAATTTTCGTTTGTTTGAGGCAGGTGTGAATGTTGCCATTGGCCACCTAACATCGCAATGTGAGATGGCTTCAGTGTGAGAATAGCCTCAGTGTGAAGTAGGCCTCAGTGTGTGAAGGCCTGGTGTGAGAGAGTGCCTCATTGTGAGAGAAGCCCAATTTTTGTTTGTTTGAGGCAGGTGTGAATGTTGCCATTGGCCACCTAAAATCGCAATGTGAGAGGGCCTCAGAGTGAGAATAGCCTCAGTGTGAAATAGGCCTCAGTGTTAGTAGGCCTCAGTGTGTGAAGCCCTGGTGTGAGAGAGTGCCTCATTATGAGAGAAGCCCCAATTCTCATTTGTTTGAGGCAGGTGTGAATGTTGCCATTGGCCACCTAACATCGCAATGTGAGAGGGCCTCAGTGTGAGCTTGTCTTCAACCATTTCAAAGCTCCCTTCTTGAGCAGTGAATGCACGATCGTCAGCATAGATGAAACTCTGTGTCGCTTCTGGCAATGGCTGATCATTTGTGTAAATGTTAAACATTGATCGTGCAACCTTGTTTTCCCTGTAATAGGCAGTAAGAGCACGTAAAGCTTCAGAGAGCTTCTGTTCAACCATTTCAAAGAGTGGTGATGACATGATCATCAGCATACAATTAACATATAGTGTCCTTTTATAAGAGATTTAATATAGTCTTTCTTTTGTCCATTTGGATAAACTCCTTCAGCAGCTCATGAAGCAAAAGTACACACAAAACTATGTCCCTCTCTGATTCCCTCTTCAAAAAAACTCTCTCTGCACTTGCATAGCTGAAGCCTGAACAAAAATGCAACAGTAACCAAAAGTCCCAGGCTCGGCCATCTCCCTGGAAAATTGCCCGACGAATCAGGTTCATGCATCTTATTTTACAGTTGACACACACACACATTAACTGATTCCTTGCATGCTCCAACACACCCAGCAGGAAGCAGCCAGGTTTTGAAGCTGCAAGGCTATTAAATGCTGATCAAGGTGGTCAATGGCAGCTCTTCCTTCAAATCTGAGATACATTTCAGCGGTGGTGAAATTGATATCGAGCAAGAATTTATGGGAGCGGCTTGTAATTTAATCTAAAAATTTAGTGTGGACTCACGCCAGTCCCTTCGTGGTCGCCAATTTGATATCGAGCAAGAATTTAGGGGTCTTTGCCAGGAGGCCGAGATCAATCAGGCTCATCAAAGAGTTCATCAAATGCTATTAAAAATACCTTCAGAAGTGACTGACAACGAGTGTTTTGTGCATGTTTCCGGGGCCCGTTCACCAGAAACGTGCAACCTTGGAGGAGAGTCCTGCATTTTTGGCCTTTGGCTCTCCTGATGGCATCTTATCCCTCCTTTTGTATTGGCGAGCCCAAGATCGGATCTCATACCGTGATCCATTCCAAGTACTTTGCAGATGCCAAAAAGTAATAACAACGTCCCGGAATGGGGTCACTTACTCATCCGGCTCCTGCCACGTTTTAAGCTCACCCAGGACTGCAAAACTGCTTAAGAGTGAAATTGGGAACGATGGCATTTGTGATGATCTTTGCACAAAGGATCTTTTTGGAACAGGAGGATCAATTTTTGTCCTCCCAAACATATATGCCTACATACACATACTAACTGCAGTACATGGAGTGGCCCAGGTTGTTAGAAGATGCCAATTATTTAATTGTTCACAATGCATAAGGTTGTGGGTGAACTACAACTCCCATCATGCCAGGTTAACCCCATGAAAATAATTATTGTTGCTACTTCAGAACTACTATTATGAATTGTAATGTAAATATCTGATATGCAAATTTGGCACAAATACTCAATATGCCTAAATTTGAATACCGGTGGGGTTGGGAAGGGGGATTGATTTTGATATTTGGGAGTTATAGTTACTGGGATTTCTAGTTCACCTACAATCAAACAGCATTCTGAGCTCCATCAACAATGGAATTGAACCAATCTTGGCACACAGACCTCCAATGACCAACAGAAATATATTGGAAGGGTTTGGTAGGCACTGACCTTGAATTTGGGTGTTGTAGTTCACGTACATTCAGAGAGCACTGTGGACTCAAACGATAGATCTGGGCCAAACTTGTCATGAATACTCAATATGCCCAAATGTGAACACTAGTGGAGTTTGGGGAAAATAGGCCTTGACATTTGGGAGTTGTAGTTTATGGGATTCAGAGTTCACCTACAATCAAAGAGCATTCTGAACACCAATGATAGAATTGGGCCGAACTTCCCACACAGAACCCCCATGACCAACAGAAAATACTGCATTTTTGATGGTCTTTGGGGACCCCTCTGACACCCCCTTGTGACCCCTGCAGGGGTCCCAACCCCCAGGTTGAGAAACACTGCTCTAGATGCATCATCGGTGGGGTTCAGTGTGCTCTCTGGCTGGGGTCATGCAAATTCCACGCCAATGGAGAGAGTCAGAAACACTGGGATGTCTGTGGTGGGGGAAACACATAAAATCTAGGATGAAATTGTCCCTGGATGAAAGCATGCAAATTCCACACCAATGGGGAGAGTCAGAAACACTGGGATGTCTGTGGTGGAGGAAACACATACAATCTAGGATGAAATTGTCCCTGGATGAAAGCATGCAAATTCCACACCAATGGAGAGAGTCAGAAACACTGGGATGTCTGTGGTGGAGGAAACACATAAAATCTAGGATGAAATTGTCCCTGGATGAAAGCATGCAAATTCCACACCAATGGAGAGAGTCAGAAATACTGGGATGACTGTGGTGGAGGAAACATAAAATCTAGGAGGAAATTGTCCCTGGATGAAAGCATGCAAATTCGACACCAATGGAGAGTAAGAAACTGGGATGTCTGTGGTGGAGGAAACACATAAAATCTAGGATGAAATTGTCCCTGAATGAAAGCATGCAAATTCCAGACCAATTGAGAGAGTCAGAAACACTGGGATGTCTGTGGTGGAGGAAACACATAAAATCTAGGAGGAAATTGTCTAGGGGAGGACATTGGCAGGAGTTGCGCTACATTTTTGCCGTGTGCCATAGCAAAGTATAGGAAAGAGTTATGGGAGAGGCAGTGGGTGGGGTCATGCAAATTCCACACCAATGGAGAGAGTCAGAAACACTGGGATGCCTGTGGTGGAGGAAACATAAAATCTAGGAGGAAATTGTCCCTGAATGAAAGCATGGTGGGAAATGTGGGGTTTGAGGAGGACATTGACAGCCAAAGAGCCGGCGTTGTCCATAGACGCCTCCACGGTTATGTGGTCGGCATGACTGCATGGAGTGCAGTTACCTTTCTGCCGGAACGATACCTATTAATCTACTCACATTAGCATGTTTTCAAAATGCTAGGCTGGCAGAAGCTGGGGCTAACATCAGGAGCTCACCCCACTCCCCAGATTTGAACTGGCAGCAAGTTCAGCAGCTCAGCGGTTTAACCTGCTGCCTCTCCCTTAACCCTTTCCTACTCTTTTCAACTCTGTCTCCCTATTGGTAACCAAGGCATACCGGTCTAATATATAGGAAACGAATAATTTCTGACGGGAAAAACACACGATGTTGAGGGAGAGACACATCTGCTGCAGTCATTACAAAACATCTGGAAAAGGGGTTCTTTCTGTCTGGAAACGGGAGGGAAAGGGTTTCTCGATCGCACCGTGTCCTTAAAAGAAAGGTTATGTGAAATGTCGTTCCAGAAGACTCATTCCAGTGAGTCCCTTCAAGGCATGGGGGTTCTGTATGGGAAGTTTGGCCCAATTCTATCGTCGGTGGGGTTCAGAAGACAACGGAGAGCGTGCAAGGCTGGAGAGAGGCTCATTCCAGTGAGTCCCTTCAAGGCATGGGGGTTCTGTGTGGGAAGTTTGGCCCAATTCTACCATTGGTGGGATTCAGAAGGCAACGGAGAGCGTGCAAGGCTGGAGGGAGGTTCATTCCAGTGAGTCCCTTCAAGGCATGGGCATTCTGTGTGGGAAGTTTGGCCCAATTCAATTGTTCATAGGATTCGGAACACAAGGGAGAGCGTGCAGGGCTGGAGGGAGGCTCATTCCAGTGAGTCCTTTCAAGGCAGGGGGTTCTGTGTGGGAAGTTTGGCCCAATTCTATTATTGGTGGGGTTCAGAAGGCAACGGAGAGCGTGCAAGGCTGGAGGGAGGCTCATTCCAGCGAGTCCCTCCAAGGCATGGGGGTTCGTGTGGGAAGTTTGGCCCAATTCTATCATTGGTAGGATTCAGAAGGCAAGGGAGAGCGTGCAAGGCTGGAGGGAGGCTCATGCCAGCGAGTCCCTCCAAGGCATGGGGGTTCGTGTGGGAACTTTGGTCCAATTCTATCATTGGTAGGATTCAGAAGGCAAGGGAGAGCGTGCAGGGCTGGAGGGAGGCTCATTCCAGCGAGTCCCTCCAAGGCATGGGGGTTCGTGTGGGAAGTTTGGCCCAATTCTATTATTGGTAGGATTCAGGAGGCAAGGGAGAGCGTGCAAGGCTGGAGGGAGGCTCATGCCAGCGAGTCCCTCCAAGGCATGGGGGTTCGTGTGGGAACTTTGGTCCAATTCTATCATTGGTAGGATTCAGAAGGCAAGGGAGAGCGTGCAGGGCTGGAGGGAGGCTCATTCCAGTGAGTCCCTTCAAGGCATGGGCATTCTGTGTGGGAAGTTTGGTCCAATTCTATCATTGGTAGGATTCAGAAGGCAAGGGAGAGTGTGCAAGGCTGGAGGGAGGCTCATTCCAACGAGTCCCTTCAAGGCATGGGCATTCTGTGTGGGAAATTTGGGCAAAATCTACCATTGGTAGGATTCAGAACTCAAGGAAGAGCGTGCAGGGCTGGAGGGAGGCTCATTCCAGTGAGTCCCTTCAAGGCATGGGCATTTTGTGTGGGAAGTTTGGGCCAAATCTACCGTTGGTAGGATTCAGAACTCAAGGAAGAGCGTG